AGTTGCCCGTGTCGGCCACATGGCCAGGCCAGGCCAATCCACACGGCCGTGCCAATTTGCACTTTTGGCCGTGTGGAAATTGTCGAGGGCTCACACGGCCAGGGGATAATATCCACACGGCCAGAGTATGGCCTGGCCGTGCGAGCTGCTGGAGGCCCGAATTCAACCTGTTTTCACCCAAAAACGACATTCGACTCTGGAACAACATCTCAAGACTCAAAAAAACACAAAAAATCAAAAAGAAAAAAGTAAGAAAATGCAAACCTAGGTGGGGTTGCCTCCCCACAAGCGCTTCTTTACCGTCTTTTAGCTGGACGCCAGTCGGTGGATGCTCAGTGAGGTGAAGGAGCAGGTGCCTTCAAGAGCGGATCCACCTCGCTCTTGAGGTACAACTTCAAATGGTGGCCATGCACCCGCCGAATGTGGCCACCAGCATTTGCCAACTCAACTTGGCCATCCGGCAGGATGCAAGCGAGTGAATACTCGGATGGCCAAGGTGGGGGCGGGACCAGCTCATAGTGGTCTCCGGCTTTCTTTCGAGCAGGCTTAGCTGTCTGCTGTTTCGGCCGCCACTCCTCCCTGATTTGTTCCTTCGATGATGGAGTGGACGGGAGTGGCGGCGAAGGTACGAGAGGCGGATCCTGCAAAATAGGCAACACAGGAGGATACACGACAGACTCGTGCTCCTGGTGAGATACATCATGCAAAGGTGACGAAGCAGGACGAGTATTAGAAATTGAAAACGCTATTCGCTCCTCACCATCCCTCAAAACTAAGGTCCCATCATGCACATCTATGAGGGCCTTGGCGGTGGCCAGGAAAGGCCTTCCTAGTATCAATGGCACATTCACATCCTCATTTATGTCCAAAATCACAAAATCAACAGGATAATTGAATTTGCCAACCTTAACCAGAAGGTCTTCCACTATGCCCCTAGGATGCACTACAGATCGGTCAGCTAATTGAAGGCTCATCCTAGTAGCACGGGGTTCACCTAGGCCTAGTTTCCTAAACAGTTTATATGGCATAACATTTATACTAGCACCTAAATCCGCCAAGGACCTCTCTACATGCAAATTCTCTATTGAGCACGGGATAGTAAAACTACCTGGGTCCTTCTGTTTCTGCGGAAGCTTGTTCTGCAGAATGGCCGAGCACTCCTCGCTGAGCTCCACAGTGGCCAGCTCGCTAAGCTTCTGCTTCTTTGAGAGAAGATCCTTCAGGAACTTCGCATACTTAGGCATTTGAGATAGTGCCTCCAGGAAAGGCACTTGGACATTCAGCTTCCTAAGCATGGCCATGAAGCTCTCGAACTCTGCCTCCAGCCTGTCTTTGTGCAACCGAGTAGGGAAGGGGAGTTTAGGGATATACTCCTTCACTACTGGTTGCGGTTTAGGTGCAGACACCTCAACCTCCTTCTCGGCTTCTGCTTCAGCTGCTGGAGATGCCGAGGCAGGGGCCTCTCTCTCTTGTTCCCGAGCAGGTGGATCAACAGTCATCTTGCCACTCCTGGTCATGATGGCATTGCAGTGCTCATTCGGGTTCTGAGGGTGAGGAATGGTCTGACCGGGCAAGGTACCAGGAGCCCTTTGTGCCACTGCTTGAGCCACACTCCCCAGCTGGGTCTGGATATCCTGCAAGACAGCCTGTGTGTTCCTCTGGCCAGCTTCAAGAGCCAGGAATTTACCCGATGCCTTTTCCATGAACTGCTCGATAGTGTTAAATTTTTTAGCACTAGAACTGGCGAGAGAATCCACCAATTCCCGCAGTTCAGCCATCTGATCATTCTGCACTAGAGCGGCGGGGGCTGCACCTGGCTGCTGGAAAGGTCGCGGCTGTGATGGAGCAGCATGCCCCTGCATGGGCTGGTAGAGAGACTGCTGCTACTGGAATTGCCCCTGTCTGGGCTGATATGGTGGCCTCTGGAAGCCCGGTGGTCCCTGGGAGACTGGTGGTCTGGAATTTGCCCCACCCAAGGAGAAGTTGGGATGCTGGCGCCACCCCTCATTGTAGGTGTTACTGTAGGGGTCATTGCGCCTGATGTTGTTGATGAAGTTCACCTGCTCCTGGGGCGTGGTCGATTCCTTCATCGCCTGGCAGTCTTCCACTGTATGATGGGTGCTCTCGCACCACTGGCAGAGCGTAGCCTGCTGCTGTCCGGTACCTGCAATCAATCCAGAACGATCGATAGCTGAAACCAGCTTCGATACCACCTGCACCAAATCAGATGACTGGGTGCCCACAGCATGCACACCCCGGCTTGGTGCTCGTTTCGATCTCCTGGCAGTGCCCCAATCGTACCCGTTCTCCGCCATCTCCTCAAAGAGTTGATTCAGCTGTGGCGGTGTTTTGGTCAGCATGTTCCCGCCACAGACCGAATCAATCAGCTGCTTGTCCTCCGAGAAGAGGGCATGATAGAAGGTTCCCACCTTGAAAGCATCGTTGAAACCATGATTGGGACACCTCAGGAAGAGACTGTTGTATCTCTCCCAAGCATCCCGGATGGTCTCATCTTCATCCTGGGTGAAGTGGGTGATCTGCTTCTGCAAGTCCGCCGTCTTCGACGGAGGATGGTAGCGGGTGAGGAACTTGTCCGCCAGGTTGGCGAACGTGGTGATGGAGCCCGGAGGTCGAGTGTCTAGCCACTCCTTGGCCTGCCCCTCCAGGGTGAAAGGGAAGTACCTCAGCTGGATGGCTTCTGCGGGTACCCCATTGATCTTGATTCCATCAATGAGCTCGTGGAATCGCCTGAGATGTGATCGAGGGCACTCCCCCTCTTTACCACGGAACACCACTGAACCGCGCAGCATGGTGATTACTGAGGTGCTCACCTCAAAATTGTTGGCTGGGACATGAGGATGCTGAATGGGTGACCTCATGTCCGCAGCTCTAGCGGTCCAGTAGGATTCCATGGTCTGCTCCTCGGGATCGATCACAGCATGGCCCTGTGGATCAGCCATCTCTTCTACTTCTTCTTCTAACTGCAGCTGTGAGAGCGCCTCCTCCGCAGCCAGTCGCGCCTTTAGAGCCCGCTTGAAGTTTCTGCAGGTTCGTTCAAGCTCCTGGTCTAGTGGTAGTAGATCTCCCGACTGGCTACGGGTCATGCACTACCTGCACACAATCAGCAGAAGCAACCCGTAAAGGCACACAGGTGGAAGAGATAAAATGCAGTAAATAAAAAGCTAGAGTAACAAATTCTCACGTTTCCCCAATAACCTAGAGGGTCCCCGGCAACGGCGCCAAAAACTTGACACGCCAAAACACAACACCAATCTGCGACCAAGTGTAATCGCAGACCGGGAATGCAGTAACAGGAAAGTTATATTATCAACCCGGGGTCTAGATCTACTGCTTACTCAGTGATTCTCTGTTACCTAGCCAACTAAAGTAAGTGATTGTTGTTTAAAAGCAAAAGCAGAAAGAAAGCAGGAAATTATTCGGTTTTCTCAAGCAGGAAAGAGTCACTCGGGAATGAATCCCCCTAGCTCCTTAGTTAGGTTTCAATTGCAATTTCCCTGGGTTGATTTACTGTTGATTAGACTGCGGAAGATCCGACAGTAGCTTGGAATCTCTTAAGCTGACCAAGCCCTCTCAGTCTATCTACCCAGCAGAGGACTAGTCTTCACCGGGATAGAAAGCTGAAGTAGTAAGAACAGAACTCCACTACTGGAATTGAATTCCAGTACAAAGCAGTAAACTGGCTAACTCTCGTATAGCCAATCTCCTACTATCGAATGATGAGACTCTAGCAACCTAATCAGATTCTATCTATCTCAGATTGCAGCAGGAATCAGGAAAAGTTTATCAGACTTCAATTGACTCAATAAACATGCATCATTCGATTAAAATCAAACAGTAATATCATCCCAAGTCATTACAATCAATCCCTAACACATAGAACTAGGGTTCTTATCCCCAAGTGAGAGAGAGGTTCTACTCCATAGAGAGAGAGAAGAAAACAGTAATCGGAGTAGTCATACTCATAAAGATGAGGAAAATCTGCTCCGGGATGATGATTTCCACTCCTAGGACGATCTCCAAGCTCGATTCGATGAAACCCAGCTCCAAGATAGCTTCTAGGATGTGTTCTTCGTACTTTCTCTCTCTAGGGCTCTGTTTTTGCTCAAAAAGTCCGATTCTCCCCCTTGTGGCTCGAAATTGGCTGAAAAACCAAGATTTCCCGACTCGCACGGCCAGGCCGCACGGCCGTGTGGCTCACCCAGTTGCCCGTGCGAGTCAAAACGCTGCGTTCCAATTAGTTCGAACTTAGGCTTCCCACACGGCCAGGGTCGCACGGCCGTGCGGGGTCTCCTTCCTGCCCGTGCATGCTCTCGACAAAAACCACACGGCCACAATTGTGAGTTGCACGGCCGTGTGGTTTCCAGGAATGCCCGTGCAGCTTCCTTAGCACCTTGCCACGCGTCCGATTCTCGTACAATCGACCCCAAACTCGCTCCCAGGCCTCCATTCACGTACTAGGACCTGAAATATGACAAACAAGCACAACCTAGCGTGAAATCGGCCTAAAACACGAGAATCAACACCTCAAACGGTGTAAGAACAGGGGTAAAAACATGTGTAATTAACGGTCTATCATGCATATGGTATAGTCAAAGATGTGTATAATGTAGTTGATTGCACCTTATATTTGGCTTGTCGACACCCCACACATCTAGGACACAAGCTCTCCACATCTCATTTCATGTGAGGCCAATAGAAGTGATATTGTAAGAAACTCAAGGTCTTAGCTACACCAAAGAGAGCCATCAATCCTCCTCCATGAGCTTCCTTCAACAATAGCTCTCGAACTAAGGTTCTTGGAACATACAATTGGTTCCACAAAAGAGATAACCATCACTCCTCTAGAATATTCCTTCCCCATGCTTCTCACATGACTTATAGATCTCTCCAAAATTGAAATCACCTTTATAGAGCCCTTTGATTTGCTCGAAACCAATGTACTTTGCATCCATGGTTTTGATCAAAGTTTCCTTCTTGTTAAAGCATTATCAATTATATTCTCCTTGCCTTGTTTATATTAGATCTCGTATGGAAATGATCCAATAAAATCCACCCAACGAGCATGATTCTTGTTCAACTTGTGTTGGGCCTTCAAATACTTCAGAGAATCGTTACTAGTATGGATAACAAATTCCTTTGGCGACAAGTAATGTTGCCACATCTCCAAAGCTCAAACCAATGCATAGAGCTCCTTATCGTAACTAGGATAGTTAAACGTAGCTCCACTGAACTTCTCACTAAAGTAGGCAATATGCTTCTTCTCTTTCATCAACACCGCTGCAGTTCCCATCTCTGATGCATTAGACTCTACTTCAAACGTCTTATGAAGATCAGGTGGCATCATAATAAGAGCATGAGTAAGCTTGTACTTGGGTAGCTCGAATGCCTTGTCTTGCTCTTCTCCCCAATAGAAAACCACATTCTTGTTGATAATTGAGTCAATGGTGCGGCTCTGGTGCATAAATTTGGAACAAATCATCGATAGAAGCCATCAAACCCATGAAAGCTCCTCACTTCATTCACGTTAGTAGGGGAAGGCCTCACTTGAATAACTCCGCCTTCTCTTCATCGACTTTAACTCCATTAGCACTAACTACGAAACCAAGAAATACCACGCTTGAGGTACAAAACACACACTTCTTGAGATTGGTATAGAGATGCTCCTTCCTCAAAGTTGCCAACCCTTCTCGTACATGCTTAAGATGATCCTCCATGCTCCATGAATAGATCAGAATATCGTAGAAGTAGATAACAACGAACCTCCCAATAAAAGCTATCAATATGTGATTCATCAACCTCATAAAATTACTCAGAGCATTAGTCAATTTGAAAGGAATCAGTGTCCATTCATATAGACCAAGCTTCATTTTAAAAGTTGTCTTCCATTCATCGCCTTCCTTCATACGAATTTGGTGATTACCTAATCTCAAATCAATCTTTGAATACAAGCTAGATCCATGTAATTCATTAAATGTGGTATAGAATGTCGATACTTAAATTTTATTTTGGTTGATTGCTCGACAATCAACACACATCCTCCAAGTTTGATCCTTCTTTGACACGAGAATGAGTGGAACTGCACAAGGGCTCATGCTTTCACTAACATGCCCTCTCTCCATAAAGCTTATCAATCTGCCTTTGCAATTCTATAGTCTCTTCTGGATTCATCCTATAAGTTGCCTTTTTGGAATTATAGCTCCAAGAACAAAATCGATTTGATGCTTTATCCCTCGGATTGGAGGTAGTCCTTTTGGTGCTTCCTCAGGAAAGACATCTTCAAATTCTTCTAAGACCATTCATTCCCTAGTTGGAATATTTTAAACCAACTCTTGATTGAGTAGCATGCCTTTGTACTTCAAGAATCCTTCAAGAATATCTTTAACATGTTCAATAACTTCAAGAAACCCTTCGAACACGTCTAAGAACTTCAAGAAACTCTATGAACACCTTCAAGAACCTCCAAGAGCGTACTTATTGCCATGGATTTTGAACCGGTCTCTAATACCACTTAACATGAATCGAAGCTCGAACTCCTGGATTCAAAGGTGATCAAACTACGCAGCAAACTTTGATCTTCTAACATTTTGGATTTTCTTCTTCAACTTCAACAAAAAATAAAGATTGATGTGCAAATCAATCTAACAATCCCAACGTGTGATAAATGGTTTATTGATATAGTGTAGAACTCGCTACAAATAGATGTGATCTTCTAGGTGATAAGAAACGCACAACCTCCTGGACTCTTCGATAGAAGACTTGCATAAACGTTCACTAAGGAACACGAGAATTAACTCTTCAATTGATTGCTGAAAACTTGAATAATCTTATAATGAAATTTGGCCTCTTTAAATAGGCTACAAAACACAAATTCAAAACTAAGAAAGAAAGCATATACTTAAACAACAAGTAACAATAATCCGTCCATTACATAACCCTAATCCTTAAAGGATTTGATCAACCATTATTCCTTCTAGGCTAAGTAAATGTAATTCGTTTTGGGCTAAGGACTTCTCATAAGCCCTTCTTCAATCCATCGCTACCAGCTTCTTCCAAGCCCATCACACAATCTTCTTCAATGAATTGCAACATCATTATGGACCTCCCTTTGAGTAGATCCACGTCCATGCTAGCAAAGTAGTTGCTTAAGTCATTTGAAAATTGTTCCCTTAACTTCTTGGTATTTGAACGTGTAAGAGGACCCTCATCTAGTGTGATAGTCTTGGTCTTGATGACCTCATCACACCTATTGAGATTTACAGCAACAAATTGCAACTGCGAAATGACATGGGAAAATTGATGCTGCAAAACTCACCATATATTGGATTTTGATAAGTTTTTCCTACTTCCCTAATGCCTGGACGCTTTTGAAACTCAAACAATAAGAAAACATGTGTCTGAAGTGGCATAACCTACATTTTTCAGCCATTGATCATCCAACAACAAAGAATAATATCATACATGAAAAATAGAGCATCACTAAGAAAATCAAAATGCACTCACCTATTTCTCCATCAACCCTTGAAAACAAGCTATATTCGTTGGTCACTAGTTTCAAATCATTGATAATAAGAAGAAAAGAAACTAGAATCTAGGATTAGGGGAAGAATGAAGAACGTTACCATATTCAGGGGTTTGAATTAATTATCGAAAAGAATGGCAGCATATGTAGATTTTGTTATTCATTCTTCTTATGATCTTCTCGCCAAATAGAATCCGCTTGATTATTTTTTTGTTCTCTGAAGGGAAGGATTGTTGACAGTTGAGCTTCTTGATTCAATTATGAAGGATGGAGTAAACTCAGAGACTACGATTGTCGCTGTGTATTCCGGTTGCACGAAGTTCTTTTCGTTTTGTGGGCTCATATTTTTTTTTATTTTTATGTCTCACATGTAATTCAGCATTCAAAAGTTCAGTTGCCAATCCGCATGGCATGGAAAATTGCATGTAGACATCTACGTTAGTTGTGGAGACGGAAATTGTAACGATGCAACTAGATTTTAAGGTAAATAGTTTAGTTGCAACAAAACATACTTAAATGATGACCGTGCAACAAATGGTAAAGTTAGTGGCAACTGGTGCAATTTCCCCCTAAAACGACGTAGAACTTCTTCAACTCAGCCCACCTCCACTACCAAGCTCTTCCGTCATTACCGTCAAGCCATGGCGAGCGTTTCAATCCCCTTGTCTCTGCCTCACCTCAATCTCCGCCGAGTCAACCGGTGGGTTATTCTGCACTCGTCTTTCATCCCTCTCGCTCTAAACTTTCTGCAATATCCGCCCACTCCTCCCATTTTCCGGCATTCACCTTCGTTCCCCCTTGTGTGAATTGACAGATTCTCTGGTATGGCTTCCGCAAGCGCAAACCGAGCGACGGGGCCGTCGGCGGGAGTTAAGATCACGGAAGGTGTAGGTAACTTGCCCAGAGTCGTCCTCACTTCTCCTCACGGCAGGTAAGTACATCAACCGGGAGGATCTGTCTTCATCTCCGCGGTTTCTCTTGTTTCCATGGAGCTATCTGGGAAAACGATGGCTTTGAATGCGAGTGCTTTATCGCAGTGAGGCGGAGATTTACTTATACGGAGGGTGCTTGACGTCCTGGAAACTTCCTGGCGGGAAAGATCTTCTTTTCGTACGCCCTGATGCTGTGTTCGACAAGAAAAAGCCAATCAGGTTTGGATGCATTCTTTTTCATTTTGCTGCTTCAATGGAATTTCCTTTCTTGATGGCTACGTATTAATCCGTGAGTTTCTTACAGCGGAGGCCTCCCCCATTGTTTCCCACAGTTTGGACCAGGTGCTATTCAGCAGGTATTGGAAACAAGTACTCAACTTGTATCGCCTTGGCTTTTTCCAACCCCCACTGATCTGGTGTTGGTTATAGCATGGATTTGCTAGGAATATGGATTGGTCAGTTGTCAATTCTGAGAATGTGGAGGGTGACCCTGTTGTAACATTTGAGTTAAAGGATGAACCTTACAGTAGAGCTATGTGGGACTTCGGTTTCCAAGCTCTATACAAGGTACTGCGAGCAAGCTAGCAATCCAGGACCAGTAACTGTAACTCTTAACATCGTTATTACTATCTATCCGTCTGCAGATTTTGTGTTTAGAAATCAAGTTTTGCTTGTTTAAATTTTCGCAGGTAATGCTTAATTCAAAGAGCGTTTCCACAGAACTTAAGATTACTAATACAGATAGCAAGCCGTTCTCGTTTACGACTGCTTTGCATACATATTTCAGTGTAAGTGCTCCTATAGACTTGCTACCTTGGTTGCTTGACCAATTGGAATTTAGATTATATGTAAAATAATCATCTCCACCCTTGGTGCAGGCTGCTGTGACAGGGGCATCAGTGAAGGGTTTGAAAGGTTGCAAAACATTGAATAAAGATCCTGATCCTAAAAATCCTTTGGAGGGACAAGAGGAAAGGTGACAAGCACATAATACTTATGGAGAGCAGTTCTGGGGATTTGCTATTTTTTTTTTTTTTTTTGAAACAACTGCATCCCAGTCTGAGAATTGGAAGATGGTTTCCCTATATTTCCCTGTTTCCTAACTGTGTCTTAATCTCTCAGGGATGTGGTCACTTTCCCTGGGTTTATAGATTGCATTTATCTTGATGCTCCAGCTGAGCTTCACCTTGATAATGGCTTGGGTGATGTGATTACGATCAAGAATTCAAAGTACATCGATCAGCAACTTCCTTTTGACTACTTTATCTTACTTTGCTTCAATCTCCTTCTGTCTATCCAAACCTCAAGACATATCTCTGTTACTTCCTTGCAGTTGGACAGATACTGTGCTATGGAATCCACATCTTCAGATAGAAGCATGTTACAAAGATTTTGTTTGTGTTGAAAATGCTAAGGTATTCAGTTACTGCCTTCTTTTATCGCTTGCTGTTTCCATGTTGGAATTCTCCTGGCAGAGTTACATGTTTGGATTTTGATGAGTTTATTTTGTGGGCTCTGCAGATTGGGAGGGTACACCTAGAGCCCAGTGAATCCTGGGTAGCTACACAACAACTTAGTCTCAGTTAAAGTTTCTATTCAATTTGGTCGACGAGCACTTTCACTGCAGTCTGCAGGTTCCTGTTTTTTATAAGCGTTTTCAGCCTTGTAAACAATAAGAGCAATAATTTTACTCCTTTTTTAAAATTCCACGCAGCCGTTTTAACTAGAACGAATGCTTTGCCATTTTGCCTTGTCCTCACCAATAATCAGCACAAGAACATTTTCCATCTCTGAAACAGTGGAAACGGGTTCTGTCCCGCATGACAATCTCCCTGTTATATATCTTGGAAATAAGTTTCATCACAGCATGACAATCCTCACACACCCTAAGATTCTTGAAAATCCGAATTCCTGTCCCTGGTTTAGTATGAATAAGGGCAAATGCAGTAGCCAGCTTCTCACTGTGCTGACTAATAGCAGTTTCTTTCTCATTGTCTTCAAGATCTAGCAATAGCCCTGTTGTCACAGGTTTATAGCCTTCTTGCTTCAGCCGATCAGCTATCTGGTGCCATATGCTGGAAATTGCATCTGCTTCCGGATGGTTTCTATCACCAGCCACAAATTCATGAACAATCCCATTCACACTGATTGTGCTGCATCCTGGTAATTTTGACACTCCACCTGCTTTCATCTTCCTTCTTGTTTCAGCTGCCAGCTTCCATTCCCTTGCAGCAGCATGTATGTTTGCCAAGTGAATATACCTTCCACCATGATCAGGGTTCATCTCAATTACGAGTTTCCCTATTTCCTTACCTAACTCTAGATTTCCATGTATCTTGCAGGATTTAAGCAGTGACCCCCAAATGATTGCATTTGGTTCAACAGGCATTCTCTTGATCAGATCTATAGCTTCCATCAACAATCCGGCTCGGCCCAGTACATCAACCATGCATCCATAGTGCTCGATTGTTGGACTCGAGGTGTGACCTTCATGACCGTTCTTTATTATGCTTTTGAACATCGATTTCGCCTCCTCAACCATTCCTGCATTACTGCAAGCAGTCAGAATAGCTGTAAATGTGACTTGGTTTGGCGTGATTCCTTCTGCTTTCATTTTCTTAAACCAAGAAAATGCTTCTCTTCCTTGCCCATGGATAGCACACCCAAAAATCATTGCAGTCCATGCATGAACACTTTTGTTCCCTACCTTCTCAAAAATCTCAAGAGCTTTTCCCATATTGCCACACTTTGCATACATGTCTATCAGAGCACACCCTAGCATTGAATCTATCTTCATCCCACTTCTGTTGATATGTTCATGAATCCATCTCCCCTGATCCAAGGCTCCAAGGTGAGAGCAAGCAGAAAGTGCACTGGTCAGTACGAGACTATCGAGTTTCATGTCTGCAGCCTGCATTTTTTGAAACACTTCCAAAGCTTCCATGTCAAACCCTGCCTGAACATACCCCGAAACCATTACAGTCCAGGAAATTGCATTCTTTGTCGGCATCATTTTGAAAAGCTCAGTTGCTTTCTTAATCTCCCCACATTTCATGTACCCATTTATCATCGTGTTCCAAGTAACAGTGTCATGTAGGTTTGTTGACAGGTTAAAGAGATGGCGTCCATAGTTTACACCACCAGAGCTAGTGTATGCATGAAGAATAGCATTGGTGGCATGAACTTGGGAGCCAAACCCTAATTTTATGACCTGACCGTGAATTTGTCTGGTCTCTTCAAAAGCTGACAGATTCGAGCAAGCTTTGAGCAAGAAAGGAAAGGTGTGAGTATTACGTGGAACTGACTGAGTCTGCATCTGGGTGTACAGAATCAAGGCCGCCTCTGGTTCGTTGCTGTTGGCATATCTTCTAATCACAGTGTTCCACTTGAAAGTGTTCAAGACTAGGCCCGTCTTCAACATGTGAGCTTGAATTTGCTCCAGCTCCTCCGAACTTCTACATCCATTTAGCAGAGCTTCTGCTGTTAGTGGAACATGCCAGGTTGCCATGTAAACTGTTCTGCGGGTTGATGTATTTACAAAACATCATTTATAGAAACCAATATTATCGAGGCAGTTCATTGTGTGTGGCTCAAAACGTTCAGTAGCTTTGGATAATGTTCCTGATAAATATTTATGACATAACTCTCCTGTCTCCTCTCATTCACGGCTTCCCTCATTCTTGCATTTTATTTTTCAGAAAGAAAGAAAAAACCCATGACAAGGAAAGATCCAAAAGATTCCACCCAAATATTGACATTCCACCAGACCCAAAAATCCATTCTTTGTTTCAGAACTGTCCATTTAACGAGCCAAGCAATACAAAAGCTACCAAGTACAACTACTTCGCTCTCAAGTCCAACAACGTTATCAGTGTTACAACTTACAACACTCGACTTATTTGACATTATCCTGAACATAAACTAAAAAGGGTTTGCAGTTTTAGGGGAGGCGGGGAGACAGCTGTAGATATCAACACAATGTTATGACGACATGGCTTTGCTCATGTTATGTCGCCAGAGCAGCACCAAGCCCGAAGCCCTAAAAAACGCTGCCAATGGCCATTGATGCGAACATGGATCAGCTTGCAAAGTTTTAGGACGACTGATTAGGGTCTTCTCTATCTATTTTATGCTGTCTGGTAGTTTTGACTTCTCAGCAGCGAGGCGCCTCAATGTTGAGGAACTCAGCTTTTCACCACTAGATTCTTCAGAAACAAGTTCCACGACTTCAACCTACGCAAGTCTCAGTTGATGAAGTGATCATCTGAAATTCAGTTCATTAATTGGAAGATACGGAGATTGAGGGGGGAAGCAAAAACCTTTAGCTGTGAAAATCCCTTTTCAGTTCTCTTCCTGTTAACTGCCAGACCGCCTGGCACTGTCTCTTTGCTGCCAAAAAAATCAGGAGAATATAAGAACTCATCTGTGAGGTTGCTATGACAACTAAGACAGCCTGAAGGGTATTGCGGCTATAGGAAGCAATATAAACTTATATGTACATATGCACCCTCAGTTTCATCAATACAGGACAATGTTATACTTATGCAGAGGTAAAAGACCCAAAACATAAGGTAACAACTTACCTAACCACTATCGCTTCCAAATCTTCGACAACAATCGAAGGTCCATATGGATCCATTATTGGTTCAGCTTGCACCATGAGTTCTGGCTTGACGGACTGCATAAGATGTCAACTGACACTTTGAGTGCTGTCATTGGTCAACAGCTAATGCTTCTTCACAGAACAATTCATGTTTCAGATAGACCTAAAGTATAGTTTACTACAGCATGCAAATCCAACCACGGGTGAAGGACCCTAACCATTATCTAGCTTCAGTCACTGGCATAAACTGTGCTCACCGAATACTCGAGGAAATCGGACCCACAACCATAAGTTTTTGTAAAAACACAACTGATCCATTCATTCCACAACATACCTTAATATAGTTCTCAACATTCTGCATCCTTTCCTCCACAGGCTGTATCAAGTCAGCGAACTGAAAACAATGAGACCCAACTCCCACATCATTAGAAAGACTCCAATTACTGCAGTCCTAAGGGGGGCCATTAATCCCCGTGGCATTCTTTGTCACTCAGTAATGACAGAAATGAACAGCCAAAATTCGTTTCCTCGCCCAGGAACTGGATTATAGGGAACTGAAAGCATAATGTTGGGATGATGATGATGATAAGAAATATATTTTTTTTTTATCAAGAAAAGAAACCTGCTTGTTGGTAAGCATAGGGCCATCGCAAACTCCTACCACAACCCTTTCCCTTGCAAGCTCAGCTGCTGCCTACTATTTCTCCCAATGACCCAAAATCAGAACCCAATTCAAAATTAAGCCAGAAAACGAAGATAAGAAAAGGGATCGGAGAGGGGAAGGTAGACCATGAGGAAAAGTCGGTGACCATCGTGGAGGCGATCAAAGGTGCCGCCAAGCACAACAGCTGCATATGTATTCGGCGGCGAAATCTTGTAGTTAACCGCCTCCTCTTGGTCCTGGACGGCCATTTCTTTCGGGTAGCAAGCGGAGGCACAAGAGGAAATGAAAGGGAAGGACAAAAAGCCTTTTCCCCTCTGTTCAACGACGACCAACTGCTCGTTTCCGCCAACAGCTATTTCTTCCTCCCTCGCCGAGCGCTAGATTCTTAGGTAAAAGTTACAAGTTTACAACGAACCTGGTCCAAAGAATGGACCCAACCTAATAGTGTGTTAAAGCGTGCTTAATATTACAACTAACTTATAACCCGGCCCTTTGGCCAGAATACTCATATTGATTATTTGTATTTTTATGTTATTTTTAAGTCTATTAACCCGTTTAATCTTATTGATAATCATTCAATCGAGATAATACATAAAGAAATAATATATAGGCCGAACATTCGAAGAAATATCATAATCATTTAAGAATATAAAATATAAAAATGTATCATTGACCCCATTTTCATAATGCTAATAAAGTCCCTGTTAAAATGCTATTGGTTAGTTTTTTTTTTATTTTACAGTCAAGAAATATAGAGTATAAAAGCTCACTGAAATTCTCACACAACCCATAGATAGTTTGAAACTTAATTAAACCTCACAATCCTATATAAAGGGTTCAATGCTCTCCTTTTAGAAACAATATGTCACTAATCAAAACGAAATGGAGAGTTGTTGATTCAAGTCATCTATATACTAAAAACTCAGCTAAGAGGGGACCATCACAACTTGAGAGCAAACGAAAAAATTAGGTTATTTCCAACATACGAATAGACTCGATCAAAGTAATAAGGCGCAAAATTAGACACTCCTTATCTATTAGTTCCAGTCAATCAATGATTCCTCGTTTTAAGATAGAAATAGGTTGTGACAGTGGCAAAAACCATAAACCTAAAGATCCAATAGCCACCACTCTCCGTTGTACAACCAAATTTCTATCTCAAGAGACATATATTCAACCAAAAATTCAATTTCTAATCCTCCTTCTACAACTTCAGTTATTGATGAACTCCATTCTATTCGCCATGAATTGATATCAGAGGTGAAATCTTCTACTCGCCCAGCTTAAAATCCCCAACAATAAAACCGTAGTGCCAAGAGATACCTGAAGATTGATTTTCAATGACAGTCTTGTATTGGGAAGTGAAAGGCGCAAACTATAGCACGATGGATGAAATTTCGGAGGAAGTTAGAAAGAGAAAAGAACAAAGATAAAAAAAACAAAAAATTTAAATTTAAATTGAAAAATGCAAGGATACAACACGTAGTTACATAATTAGTTTCTTCCATGTTAGCCAATTACCCATTTACCTTTAGCAAAAATTAAGGAGAGCTTGCTAATTATGATGAAAAAGTCATCTGATTTTCAGAGATTAACTTTGTCTATTTTTTGTATCAAAAAGGATGCAATAAATTTGTTTAGTGTAACTGGTTGTGATTGTTATCTTTGTTTGAAGAGACCTGGGTTCAAATCTTGATATTGCTATTTTTATATGAAATAAATAATAAATGTGTAAAGACAAAATTGACCTTCCTACTTTCACTCTCGTTGCAGGAAATTTGAAATGGAGAAAAGTACACAAAACTGTACCATCTACACATAATATAATACACCGAAGGAAAAAACGGGAGCCCCATTTCAAATTTCCTGCAACGAGAGTGAAAGTAGGAAGGACATTTTGGTCTTCACAATTACCTTTTTTTATTCATTAAAAAGACACATACTGGGATTCGAACCATGTCCATTTTATAGAAAAGCAAAGAACATAACCAATCACACTAAGTACATTTGTTGTATCTTTTTAAATCAAAAACATATAATAGCAGGGAGAAAAAACCTGTAACATCCCGTTTCAGCTAAAATCGTATTTCGATCGCTAGAAAGTTCGCGATTTAAAATCGAGCATTTCGACACTATTTCGACAAAAATCGGATTATCGATCGATCGGATAAGTATACGTATTAATTATATATATTATATAATAAAATATAAATATAAATATATATATATATATATATAAATGCGGTCGACATATAATTCCCGTCACTTTCTTTCCAATTCTCATCATCATTTTCCATTTCCCCACCGAGAGTAAACGGAGAAGCAGAGCATCACGCAGAGCTCCGGGGAAAACGTTCGGTAGCTCGATTCTTGAGCATAAGTGATCCAAAAATCCCGTAAGTAATGCCTAATTCATCTATACATCGTGATTTATCGATTTAGAGCTTTAAAACGAGTTTTTGGTTCAGGAATTTCTTGAATTTCCGATAAGCCAAATTAGGGTTTCGGAGTATCCGGAAGTCGGATTGAGCCCAAATTTCATATACGAGCTTCCTGCAGCGAGGTAATCAATCCTCTAGTTCTAATCCCTGAATTTCGGCTGTTATTTAGGCCGGGGTCCAAACCGCTGAATTTAGCTCCGGCCAGGGTTTGATGTGTTTTTATCGAAATTTGACCCGGAGCCTAGAACTAATATTGACGGGGATACTGCAGGGGATATTAGGACGGTCTCAGATTTTAATTCGGGGTTCGTTCGTGAAATTGACGTTTTAGTACGGGAGGCTAGAACCGGTGTTTGAACGACCAGAACTGGTGAGGGATTAGCACGGCATACCGGGTTTGTCGTATCACGATAATTATATTAATGCTTAGAATTGACCTAGGTGAACTAGAATGGCATGATTAGGGGTGTATGGACTTTTGTGCTATATGATAAACCCTGGACTGTTGTATGATATTATTGACTTGCCCTAATCGATATGAACCTTGTTTATGTGGATGATTGCATACATGTTGCCATTTGTGGCTTAACTATTGATATGACTTCATGGTTGTTCGATAAGGGGTTTTGACATGGTGTGATATTATGGTTGTATTTGGATCCATAAGTGGGGGAATAAATTTCCCAGGGTGATATTATGATGTTTTAAGGAGGATGACTTGCACGAGGGTTTATCCCGAGGAAGTGCAATTATACGACTCCTGATTTACCTATGTTGAGCCAATTATGGTCAGGTCAAGTACATGTGTAAGTAATGAATTATGGTTAAGCATGATGAGATATGAATCATGTACAGGGATACCAAATATGAATGTTGTGGTCTCATGGTCAATTACGTAGTAATTAGGGCTCCCTATGCTATTACTCTATTATGATATGTATGATAGTCACACCTCTCATGTGGTGGTGACTGAAGAATTCTTATGAGATATGACCACACCCAGAGCGGTGTCGGGGTATGACTACACCCATAGTGGTGTGGGGTATGTATGACCACATCCGACGGGATGTTGGGGTATGTATGACTACATCCGACGGGATGTGGGGTATGTTTCCCGGGAGAGTTATTAGCATGGGAGTAGCCAGGCGCCTATGATTAAAACATGATAAGATGCATATGCATAAGTCAAGGTGGTTGAGTCTTTTGCCTATTGGGATATGAGGATGGCTGAGGTCCGATCCTAGTGTTTTGGTTTGATTGTTAGATGTATGATAGGGGTATGCTCTGTTATGAACTCACGATGCTATGATTATCTCACTCAGCTATGAGCTGACCCTCTTTTATTCTTCTTCTCTGCTTATGCTATGTGTAAGCAGATCATCAGCAGCAGCAGTAGATAAGTGTTAGGTGGGAGAGGAGCTAGAGTTGAAGCCAGGATGAGGTATGATCTTCAACTATTCTGTGCTTGGACTACTACTCGGGATTTTGGCCAGTGATCCACACCTTTTTGTAAAAGAATGTTTTGAGAACGTTTTTCATGTGCATACTAGCTTCTAATCTAGTGTGAGATGTCCACAGGTGTGGAAAGTTAATGATATGTGTATATGTTGTGTAACTGTGTAAGTTGTGACGATTATGGTATGTATAAGTATGGTATGCAGTTAGGAAGTATGAAAAGTGTGACTATGGCTAAGAAAAGCCAATGCATATGGTTGTGAGTATATATGTTTGTGATGAATTATTTTGCAGGTTAAGTTGCAAGAACTGTTAGCCCATTACGCGAGTAATTCATGTCGAAATTTTATTTAGGTAAATTTTGATAATTAATGTAACACCCGAGATTATTTCCGCTGCAATTGTATGAACAATATGATTAGGCAAAACGTATAGGGTAGGGTGTTACAGTTTGGTATCAGAGCCCGGTTCCCTCTTTTTGCTGTTATGGCGTACTATACCCTATGGGAGTTTAAACACTCCTAAGGAGGGGAGTACCCCATAATGACTTAAACTGGGAATTGAGTTTGACATGATTATGTGTATTGGTATATTGGATGAAATTACCTGCATCATGGTTTTCAAAATTGAGTTTTGAATTTATTTGTTTTCAAGTAATTATTTTGGAAATTTTTTGTTTTAACCAAGTGAGAGATTTGGTGAAGAATGAATTTTGTGTGGATCAATCTAAGGCCAATATTTCCTTGTAGCTCGCACGGAAGTTGTGAAAATGTTCCTACTGACCAGTCGAGAGGAGTGGGGGCGGTTGATGCAAGACCGCCAGTATTAGATTATGCAAAGATGAAGAGTTTGGGTGGTAGGGACTTTAAAGGAGATGTGAGTCCGGATGCTGTGGTAGAGTGGTTGAGGGAGATGGAAGATGTGTTTGAATATCTTTATGCGACCCCAGAGGAAAAAGTACAATATGTTGTTTTTCTCCTAAAGGGGTACGCGAGGAGCTGGTGGTCTTCAGTCTCTAGAGTTAATGGTGAACGAGTTCAGTTCACCTGGGAGGAGTTCCTGAAGGCCTTTAAGACAGAGTTTCTTCCCGAAGCTTTTATCAGGGCAAAGAACAATGAATTTGCCAACCTTAAGCAGGAGAATATGACAGTTACTGAGTACACCATCAAGTTTGTTCGACTGCTTTACTTTGAGGATGGGTTGGCGGATACTGAGCAAAAGAAGAAGATGAGATACTTGCATGGTCTGCGCATAGGATTGAAAGAAAAGATCCACAGGGTTGATGAAGAGAGCATGGCCACAATCAAGGAGGCTGCACTTAAGTATGAAGCCTATGAAGTTGAGAGCCGAGAGGAACACAAGGCTAAAGAAGAGGAGAAGAAGAGGAAGTTTGGAGTAAATTATGCTGGACCTCGTTACCCACCCAGGAGAGGTCCTAGCAGTTTTGGGAGAACACAGAGTCAATCTATGTCGGGAACATCATACAGGGCACCAATTTCCTCAGCCACACAATTTCCATTTTGTCAAGTTTGTTAGAAGAGGCATCTTGGAGAGTGTAGGAGATTTTCTCGTGTATGCTTTCAGTGTGGCCAACCTGGGCACATCATGAGGGATTGCCTGCATTCGAGAGAAGTAAGAGCTACACAGTCCGAGCCTTCAGTGCAATTTAGTAGAGCCCCATTCAGGGGTGGTTACCAGGGAGGCCGTAGTGGATTTCAGAGTGGTCGTGGTGGTTCACAGGGTGGTAGAAGTGGTGGTCAAAATCAACCATCAGGAAGTGGTACGCAGGGTACCAGAGCACAGGGAGCACCAAGGGTTTATGAAATGACTCGAGGTGAGGCAGAAGTGGCACCAGAAGTTGTGACTGGTATGCTTTCTATCCTTGGCAAGCAATTATA